TAGTTTCGACGTACCATTTACGTTCGGAATAATTTTGGTAATTAAGTATTATGCTTAAAAGTTAATCAAGCATAATTAAGTGATTAATTAAACATTAATCAAGCATTAAGGTTAAAAAAAAAAACCGAAGCTTATGTGCAATATGTCCCAAATTCTATTAAATGTGTACCTATTCCTTAAGCTTAAAGAAATGTTCTTTTTTTATCAGCTCTTTAAGCTATGCACGTGTCAAGATGTGAGGGTTAAGAGTGTGATTAGTCATCATCAAACCATTACTTTTAGAAGCAAATGTTAAGCCTAAGGGAGGCCACGTTTCACTCCATCATCCTCCCTTCATTGTTCGGCTCCTATATATATGAGGAGTTTTGGGAAATTTTTCCCAACTTTGGAGCTTTATATTAGACTTCATAAGTTAATAAGTCCAGCCATATATAGACCAAGCAAATTTCCTTAGTTTTTTTTCCATACTTCACGCACGGCAATAGCAGCACACACGGACACGCACACGCGGAGCCAAGGAATCACGTCTTTCTTGCGGATTTCGATCGAGATCTTGAGAAGGTAATCTCACCCTCAGCACCTCTTCTTGTTACTGAGATCATGTACTGTTAAATTGTTCAAGCTCATGTCTAATAAGTTCATGAAATGCCATGATATGTCCGGTAGTGCCATGAATTGGCCGTGACCGAGTAAAGTCCTTTTCTATCCGGCAACTCTCGTGCAATTCAGGTTTATTTGGTCATTTTAGATCATTTCATACTCAGTTGATCCATGTTGGTCAGGGCAAATTGCAGATTTAGGCATTACAGACGTCGACAGTGCATATAGCGCATGCCTACGGACCATTATAGACCATGTCATGTTAACATTTATTATGAACATAATTGTCCGTATGATTCATGTCCCAACAGTTTTTAAATAATGTTTTATGATCAGTCAAGTCTTGTTGGGCGAGAGGAATTAGAGTTTGGTCGAGGGATTAGCCTAATGCCGATCATACGCACACGGTGTGCGAACCTCGGCTTGCTATTAGTCCATCGAGAAAAAGGGGTTAAT